CCTTAACTATAATCCTCACTGATCAGAAAGATAATCAAGATTTCTCAAACATCTTCCTGAGTGGCATACACTCTAATTAGAAAGACAAGTCTTGCATACTTTGATAAGAAGAGAGAATTTATACTTATGGATCACCTGCTATGTTCTAGGCAATACTAGTGTAGAATGCAATTTAATCTTGCAGCAGCCTTATGAGGTGGTTATTAAAAACTTGAATTCATAGGTGATGAGGTTGACAACTGAGAGGGTACAAAGCCAGTGAATTGAAAAACTGGGATTTAAGCCAGGTTCCTCCAACTTCAAAACCTCCTGTCTGCAAGTATTCTGTGAATGTAAACCTGAGGACGCATGATAATAGAGAATGTGCTGTCACTTCACATACCTAGCACTGTCAAAGCATAAGATATTCTACATAGGGTGAGGTCACCAATACTGATTTGTTTGGTTTTCGAATATGACTTTAAGAGAGAAACCAGAAATGTTGTTTGTAAAAATAATGGGTTAATATGTTCTGAGCAAGAACCTAAAGAACTGACTTCAAAAAATTCAATAGTTTAATTTACTTTTATTTTTACCTTAGTTCTGGAAAGTTCAGATTGCCAAATAAGTTTCAAAATGCTATATAATTTCAGAAGAAATTTTTAAAAATGGGAAACTGATATCAATGAGTAAACCTACTTATATGATGCACAGAGACTGCTTAAACTTTGAGTTAGTTTGTATTTACAGTAGTGAAAATAAGAGAGTTACAAATCTCTTCCTGGCCCAATAAATATTGTTCATGAAATAAACAATATAATTGGAAATGCATCAGGGTTTGGAGAAGCTAAAAAAATGCTGAAATGCAGTGGTATGTGCTTAAATATTTACTCAAGAGGCCGAGGCAGGAGGACAGTAGGCTCAAGACCAGGCTGGGCAACTTTGAGAGACCTCCCATCTCAAAAACAAAACAAAACAACAGCAAACTGAAACAAAGTGGTCAATAGCATGGAAATTTTAATGCTCGTCTTTCATGTGGGCCCCCTGCTTGTGATTTTATTCTCCATTCATCTCTTAAGGATTCAACAAATACAAATGCTCATAAAAGTGCACAACTTTCTTAAAGCCAGGCATAGTCCTGGACTCAGGGGTCTTCTGAAGCTAAAGTCTAGAGACTGACAATACATATTCTGTAAAGTAGGATTTCCCCTCCCTCATTCTAAATTTACTTCCCATTAATTCATTGCACTTTTCTTCTTTATTGTCAAGCAAAAAGAGGGTACTTGGGCTTCATAAAAAATAATTTATACAATTACATTTACATTTATCATTGGGTGCTTGTACCTGTACATGATGCATCTTGGTTCTTATTTTTTCCCCATTACCTGTGTGCCCTTCACCCCCTCCACCCTTCCCTATTTACATAGATTTTGTTTCCATTTTGTTTCCATTTTTGTATACCTTAAATGTATCAATAAAAAAATTTAAGCAAAAACTAAAATAAAATAAAATTACTGATAAAAAATAATTTATAGATCACTTAAACCAATGTGTATTAGAATTTAAAACTTTCTCGTTTTTTGGCAAGATACTCTGGAATTTTGTGCTTTGTTTTAGTAACTACTCTCTTTTACATACCAATTGCTTCTGGATTTGTAACAGCCTGTATTCTGGTTGATGTACCACAGTAATTCTGGGGAATATAGCAAATTTTGATATTATGACTGTGAGAATAGCTGTTATCATAAAGCTCCTTAAAGAAGGAGCTTATGTGTATTCATTTTCCTATGCCCACAATGTCAAACACAGTCTTCCTCATGGCAGGACAAGGTGAGAGCTGAAATTTAATTTATAGCTATGTGTGTCAGACTCTCTATACACCATTGCAAATGTCTCTAGCAAGCCCATTTCTGTCAAGGGAGAAGTTCAGTAAGCTAAAACCAAGCAGTCAGTAAATAGCAGAGCTGAGCTTTGAATTCATGTCTGTTTGACTTTGTATTGTGCCATGTGATTTCCAGCCACACTTCATACCCAAAATGTTATTTGTGAAGTGCCATCTTCATGGGGTTGTTTATCACCCTTCTAGTTAAATCTAGCCTTGAGAGGGAAAAGATCACAGCTCAGTAAAGCTGTGATTCACAACTGGCCCAAGGGCTGATTGGAATGCTACATGTTTTAGTCAATCACTTAGAACATAATTAGTGTGTAATTAAGAGGTAAAAACTAAGGCACATGCAGGGACAGCTTTGTCAACAGTAATGATTCTTTGTGGACTGAGTCTCCACTGTCATTTTCATTACCATCATAGAAAAACAGCAAACAAAGGCAGTGAGTAGGACAGCAATATAAAGTAGGAAGAAAACAAATGAGGGAAAATAATCTTTGGATTTGTTTACCACTAGAATGCCCTTCAAAATTAGCTTTGCCTGACTGGCATTTTAAACATTTGCCCTTATTTTCCTGATGATGTTTATGATTATTTTTATGATTCTCTGGCACTGCCTGCTTGAAGCATTTTAGAACATCTGTGTAAAGTTCAGTGTTACTTGAGTCTAAGTCTGAAAGAGGCGCACTCCTAGGCCTCAGGTTGGCCACTCTCGGTGCGGAGGTTACTGTCTCGCCAGACAGCCACTCTATCTTTGAACAGTACAGTTGATGAGAAATTCTTACCATCCCATCAATACAAAATCTGTATTTTTGCACCACTCTTGAAATTATTCTGGAAGCATATCTGGAAGAACTATGGGCAACATAGGTTCCTAGGCTGGTTCTTTGGGTCCTGAAAAAGTCCTGTGTTTATCAGAATCTCTGTGTGAGAAGCTGGCTACATATGCTATGCCAGAGCTACTTATATCACTGGGCATATATACACAATTTAGGGACTTCTTTCAAAAGTTTTCCATTTTAAAATTTAAAACACACCAGGTGTGGTGGCATATACCTGTTATCTCAGCACTTGGGAGGCTGAGGCAGGAGGATCACTGGGTTGGAGGTCAGCTTGGGCTACATAGTGAGTTCAAGGTCAGCCTGGACTACATAGTGAGGCCCTGTCTCAAAAAACAAAGCACATATACACACAAAATTTTTAAATTTCTAAATTACAAACAACATTATTTGACCTTTAAAACTATGTCAACTACTATGTGGCCCAGCCAAGATCTCCCTTGTCTCAGCATCAGGGAGTTGAGCAGGGTGCTCCGACAGGGGTGTTATTCACACCGGACATTCTTACAGTGAGGTGACTGCAATCACAGACTACAAGTCCCTTTGTAGCCACATGGACCACATTTTGAGAACTCCCTAATGTGAGCAGTTTTAATAATGTCCATAGTTCATCTGGTTTGCTTTAAAGGCAATTGCAAGGATATGAGATTTGGGGCCCTTTTGTAATATTTCAAATATGCCAACGAGAATGTCAAAACAAATCACTGGGCTTTTATATATGGGGTTTGTGTGTGTGTGTGTGTGTGTGTGTGTGTTTTCCATGAAATTCACACTTTCCAACTGCTCCTAGTTTACATGGAAATGTTCACTGTGCGCATAGACTTGGCTTTGAGGGCTTCAGACACAACTGGTAGCAAGCCTGAAGTGATACAAATGTGCCTTGATCCACCACAGATCTCCAACAAGAAGCGAGGAGACTTGGAACTGTTGTGGGAAGGGCCTCCTCAGGTAAGAACAGGATGGGAAGAGTATGCTGGGGAAGGGAGGGGAAGTGAGAGGAAGCTTGCAGCAGGGCAGAAAGAGCGTCCATTTCTTTCCAGCTCAGCTGACCACTCTCTCGTGTTTTCCCAGACTGTGACCAGTTCCAGAGCCACACTCCGGCTTCACCTGCATCACTGCTGAGTTGAAGACAGGCTCCAGCGCTGCCAGGCTCTCGGAGCTTGGGTGCTATCAGTAGGGCTTTCCCTTAAAGGGCATCTCACTCACCTGCCTGCACCTCTGAGAGACTCTTGTGTGCCTGGGCAGGTTCCTTACAAGGTGTGTGCTTCGGAACCATGCTGGGAATCAGCCCATGTCATGCCAGGGAGGGTTGTGGCTTGTCTTTACTTAAATTTGATTTTTGTTCATCATAGATTTTTGGCATTAGTTTTGAATTTTTAAAATATCACATTATGGTATTGCATATCTTGATGACTTGGACTTTTAGCACCCCTTACATTTAGCTCCTTGGACAAGTTCCTCACTTACCTCATCCTAGGCTGGACTCTGGTGACAAAGTCTTATGCCTATTTACCCTGAGATATATATAGAATTCTCTCTCAAAGAAATTAATTTTATTATTTCAAAAAATCAAGGATTTTTGTTCACTTATAATTTAAACATGAGCTCTCCCAAGGCCTGAGAAATCATCTGTTTTAAACTCAAAATTCTACAGACCTACCTAATATACAGTTGCACTTGAACTTTGTGACAAGGTAGAAATGCAATTCAAGTTTTGTGAATCTTTCAAGAACAGTAATTTTTAAAATATGACTGTTACTCTTATTTTCAGATTTGGATTATATGGTGTTTAACATCATCAATATTAAGCAAAATGTCTTCAAATGGCCTTCTACTCTGAGCTTTGATTTTAAGGAAGGAAACATTTAGTAAGGGTTATATATTAAATAGTGACCAGAAAGGCAGCTCTTTGTGAGATACTCTGCTATCTACCATCTACCATGAGACACACGAAGATGAGTGACACACAGTTCTTGGCAAAAGGCACTTACAACTTGGGAGAAGTTATTAATCACATAGTCATTGGATTCTACAACCCTGAGCTCAACATGAAGTTGAAACTTCATTAATATTAACTGGCACAGTAAAATAGGACATGGGAAAAAAAATCTCCATTTGCTGAATCAATATACTTATAATTGATGCTGTTTACAGGTCATGGTTGTTGGATCTGAGAGGAGCAGAAAATAATTGTAGCTACTATGACTATGATAAAACATGAAATAATCTAAAGATTTTATCATTTTCTGGCTCTTAAGTGCATTTATTCATTATAATGTAGAGGAAAATTCCCTTACTTGTGGTGTCACCATTTATCTCTTCAAGTTCACTGTTGATTCCAACATCTATGGAGCTCATTATTTTGTCGATCTGTGAGAAACCAAAATCATGAAAGTGGATTATTACATTCTGGGACATTACATTTTAAAATAACCTCCACATACTGGGTCACATATTCTTGGTATTACTGCCACAGCACTACTACAATTAAGCAATAGACAGGGAAAGATTTAAAGGGGAATAAACATCTGTTGAAATATTTTTCAAAATATAACTTATGCTTCCCTTTCCTAAACTTCCAAAATGAGCTTGCCTGTTCTCTGTATTTCTTGAACTTTGCATTTGCGTGAGTCAGTAAGTTAGGAACCATGTACTTTGTAAACTCAGCAAGGGTAGGGGTGAGGTTAAGTGCGTATGACGAGGTCTGCCCTCTCTCGGGTCCTGACAGCATGTATGCAGTCTGCCCGGTGAAGGGGCAGGCTTCAGTTCATGGGCTAGCGCACTGGAAGAAAGAACTCATTAAATGGTTTGGCCATCCACAAGCGGATTAGTAGCATCCAATCACAAGAATAGAAGCATGGGAACAACATAATTCTAAAAGATTTATTAATTAATTTTGTCTCCAAAAAAGGATTTTAAATATATTCAAATATTTAAAAAATACAAGAAATGGATATACTCAAAACACTAGGCATTTTATTAGTTTGGAATTTCAGAAGATATGACTATCTAAGCTGCAACCATGTATGATTCAATCTCCCTCCTTTAAGTGGCAAACTGAGTCAGGTGGCAGGCTTCAGAAAGGATAATGCATATTACCTAAATGTCCCACTTTGCTCACCCTTAAAGACACATAGAGATATCAAGTGCTGTTCCCAAATAGCTCAATTCATAATGTCAATATTGGAACCATATCCATTTCTAGTTCTCAGAATACTATCGTGACCTAACGTACTTCAAAACTTAATCTAACTGGCACAGTCTTTTGAAAGACAAAAATGTGACATGTTAGAATGAAATGTCAAGAGAGACTCTGGTCCATTCTTTAAAAGAAATTCAAGAAAAAGCAAGTAGCTTTATTACTTTATGATGTAATTCTCCTTAGGAACAAAGGATAACATTTCATAACCTTACAAGGGCACTTACTTTTCTGAATAATTCTTTTAGATCAAAAACTTTAAGTAGAGCTTAAATTGGTGATACTTGATCCCAAAACATTTTTTATTTAATGTTTCTCTGATAGCTGTAAAGGGTAAATATTAAGTGATATATGTTTCATGCGTGGTTCTTGAAGAAAAGCCAGGATGGCTCTGTTTACCATTAAGTTTAAGATTACAAGGAGATGTTCTGAAAATATAAGATACTTTAAAGAAGGGAAATAAGCTAACAAAAAGTTTAGTAAGTAGCAAAATACCAATATTTTTCTCAGTTTGTTAGCTGCAGGGCTTGGTAGGATTGATGTGAACATTCTCTCGTACTTTATAGCTAATTATTACTTCTGCATGACATAAATTTCTATGGAAACAACAGACATCCCCACGTGTGTGGAACTATGTTTGTTTTTACACTTGCTGTGAAATTACCATGTGTTACCCATGGGACCTTTCCCTTATGGTTGGAGCTGTATGCATTTGTTAACTTTTCCTTTTGCCTCTGAAAGGCTTAAAAAACTGAAAATTCTTCCTCAAGCTCCTTCAGTGCTAAAGTCTTATACGAAGAGCAACAACAAGAAGAACTAGGCTTACTTCTTCCCACTCAGATGTGAAAGATGGTGTTCTTTCAGAATTCCCTTTAGAACTCTGTTCAGCAGTTGAAGATTCACTCCAGTTAATTCTTGATGCTTTCTCTTTCGAAGGGCAGGCAATGAGATCAGAATCAGATTTAGAGACATTTTTGGACAAATGCATGTCAATCAGGGCTTTAGGTAATGACCTTATTCTCCCCAGGGTACATGCTCTCTCCACAAATACCCCTGTGTTTAACAGCCACTGGTCCCGACTGCGGGATCCGCTCCTGGTGGTTTTCATGCCAACAATGGTATGGTTCTCCAACTGGTTACTTTTTTTGTGAAAAATTGTTCTACTGACCACTTTGGGTTTAATTTTCTTTACCAAAGGTTCAGAGTTATTTTCTATTGGAGTCTGCTTGAAAGGCAGAGGACTGTTTGCCAGACTGACTTCTTGTCCTTCTTCACATTGATCTCTTTTTCCATAGAGATGGAATGGATTGTCAGGGAACTCACAGGCTGGAGAGGATCCATGCAGAAGGCCTGCAAATTGCCCAGGATCATATTCTTTGGGAGAATCATTGTCTTCCTGTTGAGAGACGTCATCTGTAAAAGGAAGGAAGGGTGTCAGGATGCTTGCTTATAAAGCCATGGGACAGTAGCGGTGCCCTTATGAACTTGTGCAATATCTAGACATTGGTTCATTGCTATGTTGCAATACCCTCTCTTTATGAAACACCCATGGCCCCATGATGCCACATATAAAATGAATGTGTGTGTGAATCAAGTCTTCCTGATACACCTTAGAGTTCATCTCAAAGGAATATCAAGTGACTGTATACCCTTCTCCCTTGTCTTCAGAGGATATGTTTCATACTAAATAAACAAAATTTGATTTTCTTAAATTGGGACACCTACATTCAAACCTCAAAGTAAATGCATCATTGTGCTGTAGAACATAAGGTAGGTAAATCAAAATTATACGTAATGATATCCCCTTGCTCTCTTTCCAGCAAATAAATTGAAAAAGAGAATCTTGAAAAGAAGTACAATTAAAGGTCAACATTATGTAATGCAAACATATACAAAAAAAGAAAAGGGATCAACAAATGGAATGAGGGGAAGGGGAGGGAAAAAGGATAAGAAAAGGAATGAAGATGTATTCTTTATACATACCAACCCCACAAATGGAATGTAAATGTTATGTACTATACACATGTACTAATAAAGAAAATTATTTGAAAAAGTAATTTAAGGTTAATAATACTCATGTTACTACTTTAAATATAAGATTAATAATAACTATACATATATTATTTAAACAAAAAGGATTTGTTCAGGCTTAACAAAGGCAAATATTGCATTTGTAATATTCATATCCTTGATCATTCCATTTTGTCTTCCCTTCACAATGAAGATCGTTCTTGGGGTAGATGCTGGGTGGACAGTGGGGGAAGCTCTGAGCTCTAAAGACTAGAGCTTACCAGGCCTGGTGGTAGTAATAATAATCATCATCACAGCACTTTGGGAGGCTGAGGTAGGATGATTGCAAATTCAAGGCCAGCCTGTACAACTTAACAACTTAGTGAGACGCTGTCTCAAAAAAAAAAAAAAATGTAAAAGGGACTGGGATGTAGCTCAGCGTGAAGACCCTGGGTTAAGTCTTCAATACAGTACACAGGAAAAGACTAGAGCTTATGTATTACCACACCCATTTTGTAGAAGTCAAAAGTAACAGACAATTTAGGCTGCCAGCGTTTCCTCCCTAATAAGGTAAAAGGCTAAGCTAAGTTCCGGCTAAGGTCTATCAGGTTCCAACCTACATATATTACTATTAAGATCAAAGAACAATAAGGTTTGGTTTACAAGAGGACAAGCAAGGAGGCTCCTTTTGGAGACAGACACGTTTATCCCATTCTCAGCTATTTCTGGAAATTAGGAAAAGTGTACCAAGGGGAAATAAGACTTGAAATTCTCTTCCAATTTATTTTCTCTTTCATTTTCCTCGGCAGTTTAGATCCCACAGTGCTTTACAACATAAGCAGGTTGGTATGGGATGAGAGTAATGGTAGGATGGAGGATTCTGAAATAAGGAAGTTTAGAATTTTGTTTTGAAAGTTGCTGAAGAACACTAACAGGATTGAGCCTAAAAGGAAAATTGAGAAGGGCTATCCTATTGTGGGAAAAAGATTTTGTAAATCTCTATTAAAAAGGTTTTTGACTATGTTCCTTACACAGCACTATGAATATTTTAGGGTCATGATATTATTGATAGGTTTTGTAAATATTATTAGGTTACATCTCCTTCCAAAATGACAGTTACACACTGAATAGGTTTTATATTGTCTAAATCCTCTAGTCATAAGCAGTTAATGCCTAAGTAAAAGAAAGTTTAGTTATTGGTTTACGGCTTAGTTTTTTGAATAACAATTCTGAGCATCATGATAGTTGGTAATCTTTTTGTCAGCAGCAGTCAAATAGTAGCTGGGCGAGGTGGTGCACACCCATAATTCCAAAACTCTAGGAGGCTGACCGAGGAGGATCACAAGTTTGACCCTTGCCTAAGCAATTTAGTTACTTTGCAAGAACCTGTCTCAAAATACATATATTAAAAGGGGCAGGGTTGGGGATGTGGCTTAGTGTGAAGGTCTTGGGTTCCATCCCTAGTATTGCAAATGCACACATACACACACACGTGCACGAGCATGAGCACGCATGCACGCACATGCACGCACACACGAGTGGTCAAATTAGTACAAGATTATTTCAGTGGCCAAATCTTAAAAATGACTCAAATTAAAGACAATGAGTTGGTCTAAAACCTCCAGGCAGGCCTGTGTGGTGGAGGGGTTGCAGCAGATCAGTCTGCACAAGGCTCCCTGCAGCCACACCCTCCTGGTATCCAGTCCTCCTTTGTTGACCCCATTGTGGCCATGTGCCTGGCATTACCAAAAAAACAGCAGCAAAAATCAGCAGAGATTTGAAAAGCACTCGAACACTGTTGCTCTTGGAATTTCACCACCATGTGAAAAAGCCAGGCTAGGCTGCTGGATAATGAAATGAACCATTATCCAGTTGTTTTTAAATATAGGTTTTATTATTTTCAGATGTAGTAAAGCCAGAGCTGAAATCAGGAGATGACTGTTATTGAAAAGACAGACACTTATAGATCCAAGAAGAGGGGCAGCACCCTCCAGGGGCCCTGAGGGAAGCATGGAGCTCAGTCAAGAGGCAGAAGGGTAGGGGTGACTGAGCCCTTACTGTGGTTTCCGTGGGAAAAGACAAGCAAACTAGAGACAAGCAGATTTAGGATTGGCTAATTTGAATGATTTCACCAAGTTCTGGGACACAAGGACTGTCCCTAGTTAACTGGGCCCTGGCCCTGCATAATTAAGGCAGTGACTAGTGGCCCAGAGTGTAACAACCTGGTAACAGAGGTGGTTGGGGCCATGGACTTTGGATTGGCAGGTTTCACACAGAGAGCCTGCTCACAGGTATGCTATCTTTAGGAATTCACCAGTTCTGGGAGGGACAATCCCCCCAGGATCAGTGTTATGCTTTGTGCTTAGATGTCCCCCCAAAGCCCCATGCAGACGAGGTGGGACTTTCTTTTTCTGAGGTAGTTGGATCTGGAATGTGTGATGCTGGGATTAAGGGTGTGTGGTTACTAAACCTCTACATGTGAATGATTAATTTGGCACCACCCTTATCCCCAGTAGTCTGGATGGGATAAAAGAGGCAGAAAGATGCTGTTAAACTCTCCTGTTTTCTTTGCTACACTGCACATGCCATGCTGTTTTTCCTCTGGATGCTTTTTTGCCATCCTAGCCTCAGAGCCATCCAATTATGGACTGAAACCTCTACGAACTGTAAGCCAAATAAACCCCTTCCCTTCTAACTTTGGGTGTCAGGTATTTTGTCTTAGCAATGAGAGAAAAGTAGCCAACACAATCAGGAAGACCTCAAGAAGTAAAAACAACTACCATCACCACCAACAAACCCCAGAAAAATCAAAAGATGCAGTTACTACACCAGCCATCCATATCAGCCCAGTCAACATTCTGACAACTTTCCCATGTGAGTGAGGCCATTCGGGACCAGCCAACCTCAGGCCATTCTGTCAAGTGACAGAATGCATCGGCAAGCACTGCCCAGATGGGGTGAGTCTGGCCCAAACCAGAAGAAAACACCTGGAACCAGGAGCTAAAGTCATGGCTATTATTTTCAGCCATTGTGTTTGACATATGGCAATAGATAGCCACTACATCCCAAGTTTCAAAGAATGAATGCATTTTCAAATAAATTCTGCAAATACTTATATTTCCACATCTGGAAAATGATTAGAGCAATAATATACACCTAAGAGTATGTGAAGGATGAATAGAAGTGTCTTAGTCTATTTGGGCAGCTATAACAAAATAATCATAAACTGGATAGCTTATAAACAACAGAGATTTATTTCTCACAGTTCCGGAAGCAAAGAAGTCCAACATGAGGATGTCAGTAGATTCAATATCAGACGAGGGCCCCCTTTCTGGTTCATCGACAGTACCATGTCTAACCTCACATGGTAGAAGGGATGAAGGAACTTTCTGTGGTCCTTACAAGGGCATGAATTCCCTCCATGAGGGTTCTGCCCTTCCGACTCGACTCATTCACTTCCAAAGTTTTCACCACTTAATGTTGTCAACTTGAGATTAAGATTTTAACATATAGGGCTGGGGATTTAGCTCAGTGGTTCCGGCGCCTGCCTCGCAAGTGCAAGGTCCCGAGTTCAATCCCCGGTACCCCCCCCCCAAAAAGAGATTTTAACATATACACGGGAGGGATTATAAACATTTGGATCACAGCAAGAAATAAAGTGGTTAGAACAGTTCCTCTTGTAAGAACCATTGAATATACATTTCTATGATAATAATGAGAATTTTAAATCTAGATGATTCTATTTTTACAAAGAAATGTATTAACTGACTGTAATAGGTACTCAATACAGATTGCTATTTTGACATGGCAATCACATGAAGTTTACACCTTTGTTTCCACTTATATCCTTTAAAATATATATCCTTTGAAAAGATTTTTCTGCTTTCTTACTATTTCTTTAGAGGAAACAGGCAAAATATATAAATAAAATTGTTTTCATAACTTGTCTCATTTAATTTCACACTTCTCTTTTGATAAGTGGATATTTCATGCCAAGGTACAGAACTAAATATGTGTGAATTCCAATCCAATATTCAAAGCATCATTAGCATTTCAAAGAAATGCCAAAGAAAGTATCCAGTAATAAGCAGTTCAGTCTCTTACTCATCTTTCCTCCTAATCTTTATCACCTATATAAATACAAAAAAAACCTCAATAAAACTCAAAATTTCATGTTAGGACAAAACAAATTTTAGAAAATGTGATTTCTTCTTATATTATAGATTATAATTTTTATTTATTAGGTCATTGCACTAGCTTTTAGAAAATCAAAATATTTTCCATTTTCAGTGATTCCAGGAGCAATATTAATATTAGTAGAAACTGTGAATTCATAACTATACATAAAACACTTCCTCTGTATCAGGTGACAAAATTTCAATAGTGCCAAAGGCAATGTCCTG